GGTAGTAGTAGTAGTAGTAGTACGAGTAGTAGTAGTAGTAGTAGTAGTAGTAGTAGTAGTAGTAGTAGTAGTAGTAGTAGTAGTAGTAGTAGTAGTAGTAGTAGTAGTAGTAGTAGTAGTAGTAGTAGTAGTAGTAGTAGTAGTAGTAATAGTAGTAGTAATAGTAGTAGTAGTAGTAATAGTAGTAGTAGTAGTGGCTGTAGCAGGATGACTGTTAAAAAGATACCCTTTAAAATTGTGTTCAATCGATCTCTCTGTCCCTCTCTCTCTCTTCCTCTTTCCTTCTTTCTCCTCTCTCTTCCTCAGTTTCCTTCTCTTCAATTCGATCAATTGTAATGATTTTCCTAACATTGAAAGACATTTGAAGGAAAATTGTGTTTTCCTGTATTGCTTTTACCTTTCAATTAATTATTATACTTTTTTTTCTTTCTTTCTTTCTTTCAACACTTTAAATTGTTTTTCTCAAAGAAGAAAAACATTTCCTTTGATAATTTTTATTTTCTTTCATCCTTTCTGAAATTTTCTCAAAGTGAAACAAAACAAAAACGAAAAAAAAAGAATTAAAAATGAAGAAAACGACTCTTTTAGATTAAGCATTATGTTTTATTGATTGCTAAAACTATCCAACTTTATCTGTTTTTTTTTTTTCGCAAATCTTAGCTAGCAACCATACCCTTCCCGCTTTCTCTGTTCTGACTGATGAATGATGGATGAATAGATCGTTGGTTGACAAAATTCAGTTTTCATCACCGTCCCTACTACTACTTCTCATCTTTTATCCACTTATACATTCATCCGTACATCTATTTACGACTTATTCAGCATTTATAATCTATTCTGGTAATTTCTTGTTATCAAAATTAGCTATGATAATTCTTGACATTTTTATTTTTTCGTTTCAAATTTTTAAAAATTTATTGTAATAAGAGCATACTAAGAAGAAGAAGAAGAAGGAAAAGTTAATGAATAAATAAATAATTATACTGATCATAATAAAAGAGGAGAAGGAGAAGAAAAAGAGGATAAGATTTTCCTGTTTTGTTTAATTAAATAATTGTAACTTTTTTTTTCATTTTTCAGTTGTTTTAATTAATGGAAGAAGAGGAGGAGTGAAAGCAAAAATTTTAGCTTTTAATATGTATTCTGAACATTGTATTATTTGTTTTGAGATTTTTTTCCTACCAATTAAAGAATGAAATGGGAGAATTGATCTAATCGATAAACATTTTGTTAGATATTATAACTTGTTGTTGGCTTAAAATACATTTCATTTTGAAATTGGACACCTTTACATACATAGTAATGATTCATACTGTGTTGTTAATTGTTCACATCGAATCATTCTTAATAGTTGTATGAGTCACTCTTCAATTCATTTCATTTCACTTCATTCCTTCCCATTCTTTTTTTCCTTTTCTTTTTTTTTGACTTAAAATATTTAGTTGAAAAAGAAGGGGGAATGAACTAGGAGGAATATATATACCTATATATCAGTGAAGTCATTACTATCAATGAATCTCCTTCCCAAAAAAAAATCCCTTGCATACTTCGCTTTCATTTCAAACAATTCCCATTCCTCTCTCTCTTTTTCTCCCTCCGTCTCCTTTTCTCTTTGTTTATGTGAAAAATAGGATAAATCAGTTAGTGATATTTTAATTGCTAATTTCATTGATATAAAAAGATGTACGTATACAAATGCATACTCTCTCATTTGGAGATTTCCAATGGGTTATTCCCGGGATGAAAAGGATAATGAAAATCGAGACACTGATAACTCTACGGCAAATGCCAGCCATTCCTTTGCCATTTATCAAATTTTTTATCGATTTTAAATTCCCAAGCTGCTTTGCCATTCGCTTTAAATTTAGCAATAAATGTTCCCAGCTTCATTACTACTTCTTCTTCCTTAACTTATATTACTACGTATAGTTGTTTGTTTGTTTGTTTGCGTTATACTCTTAATTTATGCTTGTATTTTACTTGTACAACAACAATAATTTACTTTATCGGTAATGATATATTTGTACAATAATAGCAGTAGCCACAACAACAACAACAACAACAACAACAACAAAATAACAACGAACGAACAACAAC